TCAGTAGATCTTCATATTGTCCCACTGCGTTGGCGATTCTCTTTCGTACTTCGGCATTTGAAACGTAGTCTTTGTACGAGATGTCAAGGAGTCTGCGGTAACATCTCATCTCTGTGATCTGAATCTTTTTCTCTAATTCTGCTGTTAGTGTCCACGACTCGCAGGCGTATAAAATTGGTTTCTTACCCCATGATATTAGCTACTCAAAACGGCCAAAAGTGTCAGACAGAACTTTGACATTCTAATGTAGCGAAATGGTAGAAGTTACGCGCCCCCAATGACACCATCTTTCTGGTGGTTGGCGTCTTCGACTCTGCTCGCCAGGGGCAAATCCAGGCTGTGGGGCACAGGGTGTCCTAGCAGACTAGAGGAGGGAGATGCTCGATAAAAATCACTCCCGGCATGAGAATCGAACTCATGTCTTGGTTGTGCAACAGCAGCCAGTCTCTATTTCTCAACAGGTGCAGTTACGCACCAAGAGAGATTAAATTATGAATCACCGTTAGCACGAAGTGCAAGATCTGAAGCAAATCGCTACATTAGAACTACATAGTTCTATCTTACATTTTTGGCCATTTTGAGTTATCAAGACCATGAGGTCAGAAACCATATGTGAGGCAGCGTGGTGGAATCAGGCTCTCGTCAAAATAATGAAATCGAAGAAAACAGCAGTTTTCTCCCTGCTTAGCAATTTTTATCAAATTTTTTTTTTTTGGCTCAACACCTTTTATGTCTATTTACAAACACATTCCTTTTGAGGATTTCACCGAGAACGTTGATTAAAGGCGCAAAAATATAAATTTACAACTTCCATGGACTCTCCATCTTTTGAATTTACCAAGTTTTGGCCACCATTTTCTCGATAATTTTACCTCTTAAATCAGGTGACCCCCACCTCCTTCAATCCAAAATATCTCCCCTTCTATTGAAGATGGATGGAAATTTTTTTCATTGAAAGAAAGACAAATGAACAAGCGTTTAGATGATACCAATAATTCAATATGCCCAAAAATTGACGAGAACCTGATTCCACACATTTTCTATCTGCTCTATCAAAATCTTCACCTTGTTCGGGGGTCGTTATCAAGATATTTAAAGTTTTGCATTTTGAAAAGCTTGACATGATGTGCAACTCAAAATCCTTTACGTCAAATTTCTCAAAACTAGGCACTACGCACATGTATAAAACTTTGTACTTCTAAGGTAGCGAGATATCGACAATCAAGTTTCGCTATTCATTTCTTCGCTCTGATGCCACCCAGTTCAGGTTTTTAAAGTAATTTGCTCTTGATCCAACCCTTCTTTTTTGCCTTCATTTTTATTTTTCATTTAGAGCAAGATTATGTGATTCTGCATAATAGCAATATGAAATCAAGAAAATGAGAGACTGAGGGCTGAGGAAGTTAGACTGAACGGAATTCGATACTCCTTGACGCGATGTTGAGTACATCTAGAATGTCTCCACTCACTGTTGTAGGATAGTCCCTGTAAGTTTGGAAATAATTATCTGTGCGTGGGCTGGGGTGTTCATTGTGGTGTTTGTTTACTCTCGTGACGTCATGTGGTTCCTAGAGAGGGAGGAAGCTCGTAAAAAAAGGAGGAAGGCATAGAATATGACAACTAAATCCTACTCCTACTCTGTCTCTCATTGTCTCCACCTCCCACACCCCTCTTTCTATCTCTCTTTTGCCCTTGCTCTCTCTCTCTCTCTCTCTCTCTCTCTCTCTCTCTCTCTCTCTCTCTCTCTCTCTCTCTCTTGCAAGTATTATTATTATTATTATTATTATTATTATTATTGTCATCATCATCTTCCCCATCATCATCATCATCATCAACATCATCATCATCATCATCATCATCATCATCATCATCATCATCATCATCATCATCATCATCATCATCATCATCATCATCATCATCATCATCATCATTATTATTACTGTTATTAGTATTATTAGTATTATTAGTATTAGTGTTATTATTTTATAAACCGACACTTCACAATGAATATTAGACCGATATTACTAGGGTACATACCTAAGGGGCGACTACCAGCAATCAGATTAGCATTAGCTGTCGTCATCGCAAAAGTAGCGGTAATGGGTTCTGATTACGATTTTCTTACAAGTTTCAGCTAAGTTATTGTTAATCTTCCATCATATTATGTTTAAATTTAAAGACAGACTATCAACATAAGATTTGCCGGTAGACACTGCACTAATGTTACGAGCAAGGATCAGAAAGTAATGAAAGCTGTCATCCAACGGCTAAGATATTGACTTGAATGAGATAAACAATGCGCCAAGTTACTCCATTGCATGTCGTGTACTGTCTAGCCAGCCGTAGGAGATTCTGGTGATGTCTCTCTGGATTATTTTATGACGTCACAAACAAAGGATAGATGGAGGGAACAAGACAACGTTCACAAAAGAAGACATTTGTGAGGCGTGCTAACAAAATGAGTTACTTCTCGCAATCCGTGAATGGAGATATCAGCCAAAAATCAACACAAGGGTCATATAAGTAGACTCTTAACTCTTAACCAATGCCAATCTCTTCAAATTTAACATGTCTTTTATCATTTCATACTGGTAAATTGTAAGACTTCAATCTAAAAATTTTAATGTTTCTATTTCCATCGGGCTAAAATCTGAGAAGTAACTCATTTTGTCAGCACGTTTCACATTTATTTTACATCTCTTTGTTTTAGGAAGAGTTTTACGGCACCTGCAACACAATTAGGTTATATAAGTGCCGAAGACTAGAGGTGTTATAAGAGACTAACAAACACAAAAAAGAAGGAGGAGACTGAAGGATTACAGATGTTTGATAAGAAAGAAAAAGCAAACCACACCAGAACACCCGCCAACCACCCATAGGCCACAACTCTGTGCATACCAGAACAAGCAATCCAAAGTTTGCCCTCACTCCTCATTTATCTTCCTGTGACTCCTGGATAATTACTTCCTATTCCAAATGATAAACAGTAAGGCGAAATTAGACGGTACATAATTGACGACCCACGCCACACCCAAGTCAATCCACGTCCTAACCTCAGCACGATCACGAAGTGGTCGCGCCAATCTCCCCTGAGCTCCATGTCTTTCCCGTGTCTGATCTATGTATCTACAAAATGCGTCGTTTCTGTCAGCCAAGAAAAAAGTGCCTGGAGACACGAGTTGCAAATGGAATAATTCTAACTCCAACTCGTGATATCCCCGATCACGTACTGCGTACATGTTCACCACAGACCTAATTATTCTGGAAGCATCCACGCCCGAAACAAAAGAGTGAAGAGAAATGACAACAATAGTCTGAAGCTGGTCCATGTTCAATTCCAGGTCACTGAAGGCTCTCATTCAATCAAAAGCCTTCTTCTTTCCATTTGTCATCATAGTCCACAATCGGACTTAAAACGTTGCACCCTGTTAGACATGTCCCCACACTGCCCATTACTTTTCTAAACATACACCATCATTAACGGCGATAAATCTCTTTGTTCGGCGGTCATGAAGTGCCACCAATGGTGAAAATGGTACTCCCACAAACAGTAGCAACAGCAATTAATGCCTATTATGTGTTTCGTGATTACATCAGTTGTTCACATGCATGCTGTTGAAAGACGCACAGCTTATCAGGGTCACAATAGGTGTTTGTTCCATTTAATTAGTAAGTCGTCCTCGTCCGTAATATTATAACGTCTGTCACCACACTGCCTCTGCCACCTGCACCCCCACGCTCCTTTTCTACCTTCCATCCGTTTTGCTCCCAACCCCTTTCTGCCTTCCCTTTTGGTTCATTTTTCTACGGAGACCCACTGGCAACGTTATCAACACCATGCGAGTTCAGAGAAAGAAGTGGTTATCTGGAAGGCACAGCTCTCAAAACTTTAGAGACAAAACGTTTCAACACTAGCGCCCACAACTCACCTCCCGCTCTGTTGTTCTGTCGGTTGACTCCTCTGTCTCTTGTATCGTTTGCTCCTCACCTTCTACCGGAAGGGGCGTGGCTCCTGCATTTGGGGCGCACTCCTCGACAGCTTCCGGCTGGCCACTCGGAGAATCAGTCGTATCAGACATCGTGCGGAAATTCCCGTTCTCACTGCGCTGATGGTCTGAACCTTTGCTTCCGGGTTCTCCTTTGTTTTGTTTTGTTTTTTGTTGTTATTTTTTCCTTTTGTTGTTGTTGGTGTTTTTGCTTAAAAATTACGTTTAAATCCAAAAGACTTGCACAGCTGTCATGAAAAAAGTGAGTCTTGAAACATTCACTCCGAGATAAGATCCAGGTATTCGGGGTTAAGTTCTCGGAGAAAGAGAGACAGGAATGTCACTAGTCACAGAGAACAATCTGCTCATCAGAGATGCACGTCAGTAAAGTTTAAAGTTCCTCCGACACATTCACTGACCTCATGGCAGAGTCCTTATGTCGACTCTTGAGGGGCTGGGGAGTATTCAGATAAATCAATAAACTATAAACTTTACCATATATAATATATGTGAGGCAGCGTGGTGGAATCGGGCTCTCGTCAATTTTTGGGCATGTAGAGTTATTGGTATCATCTTAAAGTTTATTCACTTGTCTTTATTTGGATGGAAAAGATATCCATTTATCTTGAATAAAAGTCGAGATATTTGCGAAAGAAGGAGGTGGGGGTCACTTGTTTTCAAAGGTAAAATTAGTGAGAAAATGGCCGCCAAAGATGAGTTATTTCCTTAGCCTTGGAGTCCGTGGTAACTGAAAATGTACATTTTTGTGCCTGTAAATCAACGATTTTCAGAAAAATCCACACAGAAATGAGTTCTTTAATTGGCATGAAAGGTGTTGAGCCAAAAAACAAAAATTCGATAAAAAATCACAAACCTGGGTAAAAATGCAAGTTTCTTAACTTTGATTATTTTGACAAGAGCCTGATTCCACCACGCTGCCTCACATATAGTAGCGTCCAAAAGAAACTTGAAGATGTAATCTCCCAATCATCGTGTTAAAGCCTTGCGCTATCCACTCATGCAGCTTATCAATTTAAAGCTATATCTGACACTTTATTATTATTACATCTATATTCAGAGACGCCCGAGATAATGATTACGCAAAACTGACCTTACAAAATCAGGCTTGGCCACATTGTGCAAAATCAGAGAGAGAAACGTAAAAGTGTGTTCGCATGCATATTGAGGTGTCCAGGACGAAAATTTGAGTTAAAAGCTTGGAAAAGAAAACATTTTCGAATATAACTTTTGTTAAAGATGTGTTATAAACTTAAGGCAAAACTGAGCACATTATTATATTCATCAGTTTGCCTCTAATTCATGCAGTGACAGGTTGTCGTGATATATAAATACAGTGGCATCCAAAAGAAACGTGAAAATGTAATCACCCAATCATCGTGTTGAAGCCTCGCATTACCCACTCATGCAGCATACCACTTTAAAGCTGTATAAATTCTGCATCATTTGACTCATTAATAATTGAACCATGTTAAGAACGCAGGAGATATGGTAGCTCAAAGTTGACTTTACAAAATTAGGCTTGGCAAAATTGTGCGAAATCAAAGAAACGTAAAATTGTCTTCGCGCGTATACTCCGGAGTATCAATATTGATAAGATTTCAACATAACATTCATCTTTCAGGAGGCGGGTTGTTTCAGCCCTACATTTTGGGGCTAGTCCAGGCTCAGTGGGAAACAACACTTAGCATATAGACGAAAATGTTTCGATAAAAGACTTTCTCACAAGAGGGCAATGATCTCACGCCTTCAGAGTGCAATGACGAAAAACCATATGTGAGGCAGCGTGGTGGAATCAGGCTCTCGTCAATTTTTGGGCATGTAGAGTTATTGGTATCATCTTAAAGCTTGTTCACTTGTCTTTATTTGGATGGAAAAAATATCCATTTATCTTGAATACAAGTCAAGATATTTGCGAATGAAGGAGGTGGGGGGTCACTTGTTTTCATAGGTAAAATTAGGGAAAAAACGGCCGCCAAAAATTAGTTATTTCCTTAGCTTAAGAGTCCGTGGTAACTGAAAATTTACTTTTTTTTGGCCTGTAATCAACGTTTTTCAGAAAAATCCACACAGAAATGAGTTCTTTAATTGGCATGAAAGGTGTTGAACCCAAAAACAAAAATTTAATAACAATTCACAAAGTGCGTAAAAACGCAAATTTCTTTACTTCGATTATTTTGACGAGAGCCTGATTCCACCACGCTGCCTCCCATATCTTTACCAAGAGGACATAGCAGAGCCTATATCACTACCTCAGAACTACAAAGTTCTCTCTAGACCTAGTTGTGAGAAAGTTTACTCCATTTTTTTCAGTTCCACAATAATAATGTTATACTTTTTTCGAATGAAATTCTTGGAATATCTTAATAATGGTTCCGAATATTCTTGCGATTTTGATACAGCAAATAGAATAATAATAATAATAA